TTCAGAAGAAAAGATGTACTCAGTCAAGGCTCTGTAAAAGAGCCACTCCGTCTTTTTCCTTCTGTCTAGCTCAATACCACGAAAAGCTTTTATAGCGTGTGTTGGTTTCAAAGGCACACGAAGGCCACCTCCCACACTGAGAGCTCCACGGTGGACAAAGCTGGAGGACGCCCAACACTTGTGGTCCCTTCTCTTTACACCAGAAATGATAAAGTCAATCTGACCTCATGTCAACCAGTTTATAAAGTTATCTTCAGAGTTTTCCATCAGTACAGGAATCTCATAATGATGCTTTTCTCTGTGTTAGCTCTATAGCACATTTATAAGATGTACAATCCGGTCGTTAAGTGATGACGTGACGAATCCTACTTCCGGGCCTAAAGTAGTCTGCGTTTAATATGGCTTTTGTGTTGTTAACATGTTTAATGTTTTGTATTTTCTTCTATTTAATCTCAAAAAGCTCCTAAAACAGTCAGTGATCACTGTTGACCTCCCTCGGCTTTTATTACCGCTAATCATTTATTTAAGCTCAGTTTTTAAAACCTTAGGATGTAACTACAGCCCAGCCCATGCAGCAGTATATGAATGACTAACCTCGTATTGTGGATGGATTATCTCAGTTGTTCTCCTGGCTGAAGTTTGGTCCTTTTACAGCATCCTGCCATGCGATTACATTTGTTCCTGACCACCGAGAACACTCACGTTAACTTTTATCGAGTGGAAAAAAGTTAGCTTGTTTATATTATGCTAACATAGCTGTGTCGCTAGCGGTCACGTAGCACATCATTATATACCAGCTAGCCCAACTTCAGTAACCCTACAAACGTCACTGCTGTTTAGTTTTCTGTCTTCATTTATGTTGGAAGTGATAACAGAGCTGTACGTTTTAATTTGTTTCCAAAACCCCGCAGTCAGGACATGCTATATTGTATTTAGATAGAAGCTAGCGAGCTAACTTCCTGCTAACTTCTAACTCCGTTAAATGTCATAAATTCCGTTTTTATGGATAATAATAATAATGGATGGGATTTATATAGCACTTTTCAAGGCACCCAAAGCACTTTACAATACCACTATTCATTCACTCTCACATTCTCTCACATGCTTTGGTAAGTCGGAGGAACTGTCATTTATACAGTTTTATATATAAGGCGATACTTGGGTTGCTGCCTTCTTATATATGTTCCCTGCTTGTAATGAAACATGCTGGTCGGTATTCTCTTCGTCCGCATGGTTACTTGTTGCTTTCTGTTCCATTTGCCCGAACTGAACTTGGTAAAAGAGCTTTTGTCCATTTAGCACCCTGGCTTGGAACAAACTGCAGAAGGAATGGAAAATGACTGAATTCATTTCATTAAGTGATTTTAAATCTAAACTACGAATCCTTGAGGCCAAGTCCATAACATGCAACTGTTTCAATTAGATTGATTGTCATTTTAACTGACTTTTTTATTTTTTTGTATTCTTTCACTTATTGTTGCATGTGTGTTGTTGCTGCCTGTGTTTGAGTAATTTCTGTAACTGTGAGACATCTGCTGCTGCCTATCTTGGCCAGGTCTCCCTTGAAAAAGAGGTTTTTAATCTCAATGGTCTTCCTGGTTAAATAAAGGTTAATAAAAAAATAAACACTGGTGGAGGCAGCTACAGTTGTAGCCACAGCTGCCCTGGGGCAGACTGACAGAAGCGAGGCTGCCATATCGCGCCATCGGCCCCTCTGGCCAACACCAGTAGGCAGTAGGGTAAAGTGTCTTGCCCAGGACACAACGACCAGGACAGAGAGCCCAGGGATCGAACCGGCGACCTTCCGGTTACAGATGCGATTTCCAACCCCCTGAGCCACGGTCGCCCGTGGATGCCTGGATGTTAAACTCAATTGTTACACCTGGTAGAGCAGAACGCTGATCATTTTATTAAAGATGAAAGACTTTAGACAGTTTTTCAACTCTCAGTAATGCCATAGTGATCGTTTGATATATGGACCTGCAGCGGAGTTTAGGCCCAGACACGGCTAGTGACGTCAGACTTAACGACCGGATAGCGACTTCTCAGTCACAAAGTAGCTCAACCCTAAACCGTACCTGCTTTATCATTTATTTGACTCTAGGTGATCTAGAAAGAATAGAAGTTAAAGGGACTTTCACATTAGCATCACTTTTTAGACCTGGAGGCTGTCTACAGGACTGAAAGTTATTTTTGTTTTGTTTTGTTTCTTTGGTAGTGTAGGGAGCAGGTGCAAGAGAACCTGGAGAGGTGGAGGTATGCACTGGAGAAAAGAGGGATGAAAGTCAGTAGAAGCTAGGAAGAATGAGAAGGAGGCAGGTGGAAACATGAAGTTGCAAGGAATAGAAGAAATGAGGGTGGATGAGTTTAAATACCTGGTGTCAACCATCCAAAGCAATGTCCAGTGCACAGAAAGGAAGAAGTGAGGCAGTGTGGATCTAATGGAGATGAGTGTCAGGAAGGATTTATTAGAACGTAGCAGCAAGAACAAAAGAGAAGGTTTATAACATGTTGTTCATGGTTTGGAGATGATGTGGCACTAACAGACTAAAGACAGGAGGTGGAGCTAGAGGTGACAGAGTTGAAGATCCTCATATTTTCATTGCCGTGACCAGGAGGGATAAGATTAGAAATGAGGTCAGAGACAGCTCAGGTTGTGTGGTTAAAACGTGAGTTACATTTCTGCGTCAGATCTACAACTTAATTTCCATAACTGGAAACCAGTTTTAAGTCTATGATGCAACTGCAAGTCTGGTCAACACACACAATAAAGACTTGAATGGCATGGAAGCTTGCGGTGTAGGGATAAAAGAAATTTGCAGTTTCTTTGTAAGTTAGGACGTAGAGTCTAAATCAAGCTTTAGAGAGAGAAGCAAGACTGAGATGGTTTGGACAAAGTATCCTCCCAGGCTGAAGGAATTATAGCAAGACCACAGAGGACGTTCATGATTTAGTAAAAGAGAGCATGCAGAGGGTTCTTGTAACAGAAGATAAGGTTAAGGTTAGAACCCGTCTTTCCAAAGTGTACCCTGGTTTTCATGGAATGTCAGCTGGAATACAATTCATCCACCTTCAGCGGCTTTCTAAATGGGTAAAACAGATATCGTTAGTTGATAGGTGAAGATAACAATAAAATACTAATTCATTTTTTAACTGTTTGTTGTGGTTTATGCTTCTTTATTCTGAGTGTGTCCCCTTGATGTGTCGTTCCATGACCCCTCATGAATTTGCACCCAATATCTCAGCTTTCATTTATAGTCGCCAGCAGAGGCTCTAAAATTCTTGACTGAAAGGTTTCAGAAGACGTGCTTGGATAACAAATATCTGGGGAAAATACAGAGCCCATATCACAAAGATTCACATTCACATGGGACTAATGTAAGCGCAGGATCTCCGTGTTTAATAAATTATGGCAGGTAATTGGAGTTCTTTAGCTTTTAAATTACAAACTTGAAAGAATTGCACAAAATGTGGTTCACACACAACCTCCACTGTTATTCCAGATAACTGGCGCTCTCCAGTGAATGCTAGTCCTGTGAGCAGAGCTTTAGTGTTGGCACATTATGCAAAGTCTTTTCTATTCTATCTGCATGTCTTTCTCCAGCAGAACATAAAATGATAATTGGTTTGTATTCAACCTTTAGAGAGACACAAATTACCCTGACCAGAATTAAGATCTTTCAGTTAATGGTCAGAATCGTAACCACAGAGCTAAGGATGTACTTAGGTTTTTTGTTTTTTTTTATTCTTCCCTTTTTCTTTGCTTTTTTCATTCTTCAAACAACAAAATATTGCTCGTGCCGTGAGTTTATGAAAGGAGAGACTGCTCAAATCTCTGAACACGTAACCCCTTTTGCACATTTATTAAATTACCTAAATGGAGATATAAAAGACAGCTCTTGGACAGATCCATGAGGCGTCATTATTTGGAACAGGTATAAATGTTTTTTTGCCTTTGCGCAGGCTCAGAAAACATATTGTACCACCAGCAATGGCCTTGAAAATTGACCACAGAGTCACACGACTTAGGTATACTTTTATACTTCCTAGAGATATCGGCTTGGCTTGATTGAAAACTGTTAGCTTGCTGAACTCAAACACCAGGCTTCTTGTTCTTGTTCACGAAGGAGCAGGGCAGGTTTTAGTGATGATTCTCTCATACTGTGTTGATTTACATTTCTTTTCTATAGTACTGCCATGGGGGCATTACGTGGGTTGAGCAGGAACTCCTTATTTAGTAATTTAGTCATGTGTGTGACGGTGCAGGCTCTCCTGAGGAATCCTGTCTGTTTTCCACACATTTCCTTGGAGTAGACTTCTGTTACTGGGCAACCTGACAGTGACAGAATCTGGTCATCTGTTCCCGCCTCCACCCGTCATGCCTTTACATTTCTCATGTTTCACTTCTCTTGATTCATGCCCTTCTGAAATGTCAGGCGTGCATGAATAATCGAAGCGATGGAGAGAAGCATGTTGTTCGCCGTGTGTCATATGTTGCTGCGCAGTGAAACGCAGCAGTGATGTGAAGAATGGAATCGTGTTGAATCACTATGCATAATACTTTGTCAAATTTATATTTACTCTTCTATTCTGGTGTTCCCACCATAAATTTTTCATCTTTAATCATTTCTTTTCAAATTTGCAGTGCGTGCAAATTTTCTAATTAGTTCTCTCTTTTTTTCACTCAGGCGCTTGTTTGCATTTCATGATGTTTTCGATACTCGAAGGCTAATTTATAACCCGAGATCAATTAGTTTGATGCCAACAGTGCGTCTTAATAGAGGTTCACTTGTATGAGGGTTTTCATCTCATTAGCTGTGACTGTGTGAAAAATTCTGCTCAGCTCATGAATTATTCAACCGTTAATTCTCTTGTGTTTTACGCACACATAAATTTACTCCGCATAGGCCCCGCCCCTTCTTTGAAGGTACATTTCATGTATTTTTATTCCAAAGTGTCTGCCACATTGTAATTTTGTTGGGGTTTGGATTCCTCCACAGAGGTACAAGCCTGGAAGGTGTGACGACATCCTCAAATGGAAGCCCCCCAACCTCAACTCTGTGGACTTTCGTCTCAAGATCACCAAAGTCGGAGGAGAAGGGTACGTCACGGTTGCCAGGGAAACTCTCTGCCTGAGGAATCCAATAGCACCTATGATTTTGTGACACACTGGAGTACTCAGAGACAACCACATGTGCACACATGTGTAAAGTCCAAAGCACACACATTGAATTTCCTTGACATTCATCTTTCAGTTTCTATTTCATCCCATTTCTTTTCTCCTTTCAGATTTCCCTTCTGCCTCAGGGTTCACTTCCTTTTACAGCAGCACAGCTAATGCATGAAAAGTTCATTTCTTTTCCATTTTGCCTAAGCACATTTTTTTCCAGAAGTGCCAGAAGTTTCGTATATGCTGTATGTGCTTTGTGCTCCTCTTTTTCTTGCTTTTTTTCTTTTATTATCCTCTGCTACATAAATTATTCAGCTCCACTGATGTTCGCTCTAACCATTACCCAAGTATACATTACAGCTCCGCAGAAAACAATTCTATACTGGGGAGGGGGAAATCGGAAGGTAATAAAGGCTTACAAATGTGTTTGTTGGGAGGCAGGGTGGTGCAGTGGTTAGCACTGTCAAATTGCAGCTAAACGGTTCAGAGATTAAAGATGCTGGGCGACCAGGGCGTTTCTTTTGTTGAACAGTCTTTTTATTATATTTTTGCCATAAAAGAAAATATAATACAAACTATAATAACACAAAATAAGGAAACTATTTAAACATACTCCTCAAACCTCCCTCACCTTTGCCCCGGTAATATCAGATCAAAATATGAACATTGTTAGATATCATTGACATATTTTCTCAGTAATATATCAAAATAAATCGTTGTTTTGTTACAGTAATAACGTTACGGTTATGCGTTAATAATAATAACCTGCCATCCTTTTAACAAAGCTTATAAATGGATAGATTAGAATAATATTTCCCAACAGATCTTTTAATTACATGTCTGAACTTTTCTATGATGATATGATATGGTCCTTTCGTCCAAAAATAATACAACTTTTGACCAACTACTCTGGTCTACTCGTAAGAGCCAGGCCATTTCTGTGTGTAGTTTGTGTGTTTTCCCTGTTCCAGTTTGCATTAGTTCGCTCCCATTTTTTTTCTCCCATTAAAACTATATTTGCTCGAGACTCTAGACCAGGTTTGGAGATTCACACATGTACTTCCATGAGTGCATGATGCCCATGTGTTCATTATGAAGTACCTGCTATATTCTCACATGAGTTTCATAAGATATCACACTGACTTTATGCTGGGAAGCTGGCAGGTTAAAGACCAGCTGATGGCCCATCTGACTTCACCAGACATTTGCACTTCCATCTGGTAACGTCTAAATAAGTTCTGGGCTACAGAGCATGTGTGAAAATGGCTTACAGTAGGTTAATTCATCATTGTGATTCAAAATCGTTGTCTAGGAATTACCATGCTTCTCACCAAATGTCATCTGAGATGAGCCCCTGGTCTTTCCACTTTGATAAGTAGTTGAATGGATTTATGTTTTGACCACATTTTATTCAATTTAAGCTCAGTATTTTATTATTGGACTAAAGGAGTAGCTTCGCATTACTCACAGTTCAAAATATGGGACCTTAGTGAAGTCCTGTATTTCAACTTTTGTCTGAAAAAATCTGTTTTACTCTTCCCTCTCTAATATTGGGCTCCTTTTAAACAGTCTTCCTTCTGATTGGCTAACCTCTGCAAACAGAAGGTTGAATCAGTGGGTGGGGCTTCTGTGCTCACAATCAGAGTTGTGTGCCTGGGATATTTGCAGTCTTTGACATTGACCTGTTTAGAACAGAGTACTTGGAGCAATCAAAGCAATTATATGCATATATAATGACTTCATCATTTGAAAGATTAGATTAGATTAGATTATATGAAACTTTATTAATCCCTCGGGTGGGTTCCTCCGGAAAATTCAGTTTCCAGTAGCGCACACCGACAGATACAATAAACGGGAATGAGAGCAAGGATATACACAGTCGAATATAAGAAAAAATATTGCGAGTATTGCACAGTGGAGGGAAAAAAGTACTACAGCTCAGTTGTTCCCGCCCTCCTTTGTCCCCCTGTTTCCCCTCCCTCTCTCCTCCAACGAGGAGTTAAACAGCTTGATGGCGTGTGGGACAAAGGAGTTTTTAAGTCTGTTGGTTCTTGACTTTGGGAGAAGCAACCTGTTGCTGAATAGGCTCCTCTGATTATTTACGACCGAGTGCAGAGGATGCCCAGCATTGTCCATAATGTCCAGCAGCATCTTTAATGTCCTTTACTCTGCCACTGTCACCAGGGTGTCCAGCTTCATGCCGACCACAGAGCTAGCCTTCCTGATTAGTTTTTCCAGCCTGGATGAGTCCTTCTTTGCCGTGCTGCTCCCCCAGCACACCACAGCATAGAACAGTACTTCTGCAACCAATGACTGGTAAAACATCCTCAGGAGCTTCCTGCAGATGTTAAAAGACCTCAGCCTCCTGAGGAAGTACAGTCTTCTTTGGCCTTTTTTATACAGGTGCTGTGTGTTGCATGACCAGTCCAGTTTGTTGTCCACCCACAGCCCAAGGTACTTGTATGTGTTGTCCACCTCCACCTCCTCTCCCTCTATCTGAATTGGCAGTGGACCTAGTCTGGACCCACAACCAGTTCTTTGGTCTTTGAGGTGTTGAGTTGCAGGTGGTTTGTGTGACTCCATGTGACAAAGTTCCTCACCAGACTCCTGTACTCCTCTTCCTGATCATCCCAGATACACCCCATGATGGCTGTGTTGTCTGCAAACTTCTGAATATGGCATAATTCAGAGTTATAGCAGAAGTCAGAGGTGTACAGGGTGAAAAGAAGAGGGGACAGCACAGTGTCAGACATGATGTCTTTCAGCCTGACGTACTGTGGTCTGTCAGTGAGGTAGTCGGAGATCCAAGCGACCAGGCAGGGGTCCACCTGCATCCTGTTTAGTTTTTCCTGAAGCATACAGGGCCGGATTGTATTAAAGGCACTGGAAAAGTCAAGAAACAGTATCCTGACCGTGCCTTTTCCCTTGTCCAGGTGTGAGTGGGCTCTGTGTAGGAGGTACAGGATGGCATCCTCCACTCCGACACCCGCCTTGTAGGCGAACTCTAGTGGGTCCTGGGTATGTTGTACCTGTGGTCGGAGGAGGTTGAGGAGGAGCCGCTCTAGGGTCTTCATAAGATGTGACGTCAGTGCCACCGGTCGGAAGTCATTCAGCTCATTGGGCCGGTTCTTTTTGGGGACTGGGACAATGGATGTCTTCCAGAGGGCTGGCACTCTCCCCAGTCGCAGGCTGAGGTTGAAGACTCGTCGCAGCGGCTCCCCAAGTTCAGCAGCACACGCCTTTAGCATCCTAGGACACACCTTGTCTGGGCCTGCTGCCTTCCTGGGGCGAAGCTTCCTCAGTTGTCTCCTGACAACTGGGGAGGAGGGGGATGTCATAGTGTCAGGGAGGGGGAAAAGCGGGAGGCGAGGGAGGTAGGAGTGTAGGGAGAGGGCTCTGTAGTAAAGGTGAGGGTGGGGGGGCTGTGTGCCGGTCAAACCTTAAGAATAAGAGAATATATTATATATAAAAACAAGAAAAAGCATAATACATTGCCTTGAAGAAAATGAATTAAAGGAATACATTTCCCTTGTTAAAGTACATTTGATTTTGAACAAAATCTAATCATGCACCTGCAAATCTGCAGGGTAGATATGCACAAAACATTGTGTTTATTTGTTTTTTTTCCAGAAGACAAATTCAAATAACTCTTCATCTTTTCAATTTGTCCTCTTGTGCCAGTAGGAGGCTGGCGTTTGTGGTTTGGAGCGACTTAAAAATTATTGGATGGATTATTCTGCAGTTTTATAGGTGCTCATTTCCCCTCTGGGGGGGAAAATTCATCACTTCAGTGTTTCTTTCAACCATCATCAGGTCACAATTTTATTATCTCCAAAAGCAATGGCATTCTTGATAGCTTCAGCTCTGGTGTTTGCAATTTACCAAACATTAAACCTGCGGAAACTTGCCTTGTAACTTTGACTTGGCAGTTGCTGTAGATCAAAGCACCGCTGGGCCTGGGTAAAGTCTCACAGAGCTGCTAGCTTGGCTGTAAGATCCAGTGCTCTTTTTTCTGTTTCTGCACATCCTTCAACTGTGTGTTCTTTTCTGCTGTCCAGTCTGTGAGTGCTGTCTGAGTCGCTGTCAGCTTTCTGGAAACACTGCCTTTTCCTTCGAGAGCCAGCTGACCTTAGTGACTGTCCCAGCTTTATAGCCACGAGCCTGCTACCATTTACCTACAGCAGACTGAGAGGATGGCAGCAGAGTACAGTCACTCATTCTACTCCGAATCCAGCCAGCAGGCCCACTAGTCAGCGCCTTGAGTCCTCCCTGTGTGTGTAGGAGAACACAGACGGTTATTGTTGCCATTTGAGAATGTTCTGATATTTCCCCAAAAGATGATTTTTTTGTTTTTTGTTTTTTTGTTGGCAGATGAGCTCTCAACAGACCTCGGTATAGCTTTTCAAATCTCTTCTTAGTCAGAGAGAGAGAGAGAAAGAGAGGCATGTACGGAGGTAACAACTGTTTATTCATCAGCCCACACAATCAATCTTTGAGCACATCTTTGCGTACCACAGAGGCATACAGCCTTGCAAGTTTTATTGCCATCTCTGAAAGCAAGCACAGAGGCAGACGGTGATTATTGTGTGACAGGAGAGGTGGAAAACAAGGAAATGGAAAGATGAAGCAGCAAGTTGTGTTGGTGGACATTTCCAGTGCCTCTCCCAAGCATAGAACAGTCTCGACTATTGTATAGATTACTTGAATTATGGATAGTTCGAGTCAGTATTCGCTCTGAAGGCAGGATGAGTAATGGTTACATCATCTCCTTTTAGGTGTGCAGTGATTTTAAGAACTTAAAAAATGGAGAATGGTCCAGTCTAAATGGCTTGGATTGTCTCTGTAGAGCCCAGAGCCCAAGCTTCTCATTACTACTCTTGTACTCTGGGGAGTTGAGTGTCATTACAACATTGCAAACCATATTTTGTGTGTGTAAAGGATCCACAGTCAGACCTCACAGTCAAGTACCTGCCTTGGAAATGCACCAGAAAAGTCAAGAGCAACACAAAGTCAATGCTGTTGAATTTTTGTACTTTACTCTTTTACTGAACTGTTGAGATCTATCCACTTTTGCATCCAGAGAGGAAAGATTTAGACTGTAATGGAGGCCGAACACGGTGTCAGAGAGTTTGTGTTCACTTATTATGTACAAACAATTAACATACATCGCTTTTTAGAAGCAGCACAGAAGGGTTTGGAATATACACCCACTATAAATCACCAAGTCTGCTGTGAGCTTGTAGCAATTCATCCTTCAGCACAAAGACGAAGGATTCTGCGAACTAGAGTGGAGCGTGTCTTTGAATGGAATTCTGTAGATGACATCTGAAGCGCGGACCACAAGGACATGCAGCTGTATATAGCTGTTACATTTAGACTTCATTTACTGTGCAAGATTCAGAATACTATTCAAGTGGATCTTTTTGTGCTTATTCTTATGTATGGATATCTATATGATTAATACAACAGTTGTGGACGATGTCTATATCCTACAGACAGCAGATGAGGCAAATAAAGATTTATCCGTGAATCATGCTAAGCTATACAAGTTACCATAATATGTTAATTTTTACCATTTATTTTTATATTGAACAAATAAACTCACGATCATCAATTAGTCCATCTCTTTATATTAGTTTTTTTTATAGATACAAGTGTATATAGCCTGCACTAGTCCCATATGTTATATCTGCTGCAGTTTGCAGGGCTGTGTTGGTAGGTCGTAGACGTAAGAGATAAAGAAATTAGAAGATGACTTAAGCAATTAGGAGATTAATTTAAGAGCTCTTTATAGTTTCACAGCAATACCTGAAGTTACTGTGGGGTGCCCCTAATGATCTCTTTGTTTTATGAAGGCTCAGTAATTTCTAAATATAGCTGTGGAGCGTAAGAAAACATCAAAAGTTGCATTTCTGATAACTGTTTTTGTCTGACAACAAAATCTTTAACTACAACATGTGAACATCAGCTAGGTTGCGCTATGGGTGGATCTGAGTGTCATGGTAATGAATTACTAATCATACTTGAGCTCAACGGAGCTTCTTTCCCCTATCAATCTGTCAAGATGTCATATAAAAATTTATATAGTACGTTAGAACTTTAGATATCTTTTGTGGAGGCTGATTTATGCAACGGAGTAATGTCCCAGTGTCACCCCTAGATATATGTTGTAATAGTGTATCTCATGAAGACAGTGAAGCCATATTGGATAAATTCAGGGTTGTTTTAAGCTACAAACCCAAGAAATTACAGGAGATCGTTTGCATTAGACACACTCTCGTTGCTGAAAATAGTTTAGTTTAGATGAGCCAGCTGCCTGAATGGAGCATGCGACGCCCACTTTATGACAGTGACGAACACTGTTGTGACATCAGAGGAATCGGGCATTGTAGCTGTCCGGTTGAAGTCATGTCGCTGTCTGATTTGACTGAGTAGGGTATTTTGCACCTGTGTCAGAGGTTGTCCAAACTGGTTGCTGTGCATGTTCAAAAATGACTCTTTTATAGTTGTTTGCCCTAATAGGGTTTAGTGAAGCTCAGTTCAACCTCAGAGCGTCTAATGGCTTTCCATTGAGGAAATAGCTCAGATACAGTGACCAAAGTACTGGTATGAGGGTAGTGGTGCATGATGCAGTATTTTATCATGCTTCAGTCCTAGTATTAACATTTTTTTTAAACATATGTTTGTTTGTTTGTTTTTCATTGATACTGAGTCCTATGACCCTTTCTAATCTCTTGCTTAATTTACGTTTGATCTTTTGCTTCTGTTGGAATAGTGTTCAGCTACTATAGTTCCGAGTTCATGCTGTTTGCAGACTGCATTGACATTTAACAGCGCCTTGGTTGTTTGTACAGAATCTCCCGCCTTGTTCTGCGTTAAAAACCTTTTATTTTTCTTCTGTATGGTTAAATTCTCTTGTTGTAGCACTATTCGCCTCACCCCAGCTCAGAGGAAAATTGATGCTTCGGTGTAATTTACACATGACCCTGTAAGTGAAACATCAGCTTAGAGCTGTGCAATAGTCTGTGAACCACAACAAGAGTCTCTGCTTTAGAGACTGTGTTCCAAACCTTATCTTATCTGTTTCTGCACCTTTTGTATGGCCTCTGGGACTATCTCCTGGATGCTTTAGGAGAAATGGTGTCAGCACAAGGGCACTTTTCTTGTTTTTGAATCCTGCGTGTTTACAAAAGTGGTCACAATGTGTAGGTCCAAAGTAATAGTTGAGGTAATGATGGGACTGGACACGCTGTTGTAAGATCTTGGCGCTGGACAGTGTCCATCACGGCATGGCTATTTGGCTCTTTTAATGTCTCCTGCTGCTTCCTTCCTGCCTCTGCTAGCTATCATTAGACCAGAGGGGGTTGAAATGGATGGAAAGATGGTCTCCAATTTCAGCTCCGACTGAAATCTGCGTGCTGGATCAGACTGTGTAACTGCACTGTTGTTTAGCCGTCACTTTAGCTCAGCGGCCCCCTTATTTTCATTCTAAAAATGGTTAACTAATATGAAGCCAGTGCCAATGCTTGTATGCGCAGTCTGTGGCACACATAGCATCAGACAAAGTGTCTGGAAATAACTACAGGCACATGGGGGTGTTTTTGGTGGAGCATGCTGGGGAACAGTATGTGATTAAGACATCTGTTGGTGAGCTGTGAGACACATGTTTGTCGAATTGAGAGCTGCGCACGCAAGATCAAAACCTTCACTTTAAAACCCAACAGCCTGTTAAGATGACAATCACCTGGAGATTAGTTTTATACAATGTCCATGCTGTTGGGTTTAGTCTGTATGTGACTTAGACTTTATTATTGCATTGCACTATAAACATGCCTATACTCTAGTTTAAAAAACATCAAGCTGTGCCGAGTGACAGAAGGGCTTCGAGAGGTGTAATCTCACGTCTCTACCATTCTGTTACTAGCTGCAAAATGCAAGCGACATAGTGATTTCTTTGCAGCTCTTACTGAGATCCTGTGCTGAGTGTGTTGCTGGTGTTAACTGAGATCATTTTGTCTTTGCAGGCTACTACCACAGACCTTTGGGTTCCTCTATGTTGGCAACTACGACAGGCCCTTTGCGCAGATGAAGGTGAGAAACAAAATAAAGCATTGTACCAAAAAACCAAAGCCTCCATCCTCATCCAGCTTTAAATTAGCTTTGTGTAAAATGTCTGATTATTTTTATTTTTTTTATTTTTTTTAAAGGTGTGTGGTTAGGCAAAACTGCAGTTGATTATAAATTAGTCCTCCAACCACTTTTACAAGTGTAATCTTAATTTTCCTTTTCCATTAACACATTTTCTCATATTTTAAAATCGCTGGTTTCCCAGTTAGCTTCAGGTTTTACTTCCAGTGGCTTCATTGTGTAGTGGTTTGTGCAAAGATCCCAGGTTCAATCCCCAGAAAAAGCACAAATTCCTGATCTGTGGCACAACCTGCAGTGAAAAAGGAATCAGCCGAAAGTAGCTTTATTTCTATTTCTAGAACCTCTTAAGTCTTCACGTGTGGTTATTATATACATTCAGTGTAATATTTAATCAGATAATATTTTTTTGCTGCCTACTGCTCACATTTTTAAATTAAATAGCTGCAGTTTCCTTTTTCTTACAAAATATACCTGATCTCATTAGTGAAGGTTAAACTGTTTGCCCAGATATTTCAGTAAATTTATATGTGTGTTTGATAACATGGAGTTTGTAGCAGAATTGTATATTCACATTTAATATATCTGCAGTACCGCGCTGATAAAATGTGTTATACCACCTACCATAAAACAATAAAATAACAATATTTTAGAAATCCCAAATTGGACATTTTTAAACCCAAATTGGAACAACTACACTCGAATTCTCTGAGAAGAAGAAATTAATCAAGCATAACATTCAAATGCTAAATTTTGGGCAATTTATTAATTAATATCAACACCTTTTCTATGAAAGTTTGGCCTTTTTTTTTGTTTCATGTCAGACATAAACAATTTGAATTTATGTTCCAGGATGCAGAAAGTTGATAAGGCCATTCTGGACTTTCTGACTTGCAAAAGTTGAAACAATTAATAGGATAATGCATTTACCTATTAGAGACTGTGTCGAATCGTTGGGTGCTTGACAGATGTTGAGCAGGTAAACATAGAAGCAAGAAGACAACAAATGTACTGTTGGAAAGTTACTCTTACAGAATGAGTGTGGCGTTTCATCATGCTTGTGTCATCATGCTTGTGTCATGTTAAATTGATGCATGTTGCTGTAAAAAGTGGTAAAAGAAATGCATTTGGAAGCTCCACATAACAGTGATGTTCAGTTCAACGGGTTTCATAGTTGCATAATGTCTGCTGTGTGTGAATACACAGTTGAGATGACATCATCAGACATTTGACCAACAGCAACACAGACTCGGTCCTGTGCACTCCAGTGATAGCTACCATCACATCACCATCATATATTGGTTAGGGTCCATTAATTTAGAATGAAAATTTGCCAGTCTGAGGAAGCTGACGAGCAACATGTGTTTCCATTTGTTTTACTTTGCTGTAAATTTCCATGAAATGACTTGTAGCATTTGTAGCCTTTTCAGTCATGGTTCAAAAACACAGTAAACAAGCTTTTCTTTTCCCTATCGTATCGTCTTGTCGTGCCAGATTCCCATGTATCAGCCCTGGGCTCTGTCACCAAACACGGCAGATTCTGTTTACTGCTCGGTCTCTAACCTTCTCACGGGGTGTCGGAGCAAAAGCTGCAGCCCCGGGGTCATCCTCTGTCAGATTGCATGTTGTTATTTTTGTGGTAAAATGTGTTTTACAGTAAGTCCGAATGTGAATATGCTAAAAATGGTAATTACTTGTCATCGCAGGACTTGATGACTTGTGGTTTTAGTCAGAAAGGCTGTTCCTGATAAATCTGACACCTCTACACAGCCTGTGTGTGCGTTTGTTGTCTGCTGTGCTCTGTCACACAATGGTTTTGACATTCATCGCCTTCCTTGTGGCTGTGCTAGTAATTTCAACGTGCCTATTAGATGCATTTGGAGGCATATCCAGTTTCCACTATATTGAAATCCGTTTAGCTGCTGTTGAGAGAAATCAAACCAACTTTGTCTGTGATAGGAAAAATGTTGTAATCTTCACGAAAACTTGTTTTATTGGCTCAGTCTTCCAATTTAGTTCCTTATTGTTGTAATTTCTTACATTGTTTGCACCTACAGGGTATAGGTAAAGTGAATATTTGGAAGGGATGTTGTCTGAGAATTTATCAGCTGAGTGCTTCAGAAAGAAGTCTGCTGTCTCACAAATATTGCGAGACAGCAGACTTCTGGAAAACATTTGTGTGGCTCTCTAAATGCTGTTTGGAATTAATGAGTATTTACTGAAAAATGGTCTAACTATAATAAGCATGTCTGGACTTATTTATGACTTGCTGTTTGTTAAAAATTCAGCTGTAATTAGAATTTAGAAAGAAAGTCTTTGAAGCCATGTAATGTAAATAAAAACAGTAATGTTCTGGAAACAGTTTAAGTCAAGTCAGTGCAATTACAAGCTAAAAAAAACATGTACTAAAACCACTCATAACAGTATTTATTTTATCATATTTATTTATTTATTTATTTATAGCAGTATTTAATGTTTTTCCTGTATTTTCTTATCCCCATCCCAAATTTTGCAAACATGTTGCTCACATTAAATTCATCATGAGCATGTTTTTCAAAACACTACAAAAAATGTTGGTTTCTTCCTTTTGATATGTTGTTTTTATACTTTAATTAAATGCACAGTATAAATCATTTGTAAATTTGTGTAATTTTTCTTTCTTTATTTTATCATTTTAGCTTTTTTGGAAACAGGATTTTATTTGTGACCCGGGTTACGCCACAGGCCTAGAGACTGGTTGATGGCTCTCTTGGGACCACCACTTGCTTTGAAATGAGTATTCTCCAACTGGTTGCTGGAGGTTACCGGTAGTCAATGTGAAATCGATTGCTAAAGCCCCTTTCACTAAGGCTGAGAGACCCATCAGTGACCCCCTGACAACCAAAGGTTGCTAGGAAACGATGGGCAGTCCTTGACCGGTTAGCAGGTGGTTGCTGTAGGTTGAGTCACCAAGAGTGTGCTGCACTGAAAACCTCCTTACGATTGATTTGGTCACTGGCAGATTGCTGTGGGCGCCCATGGTATGCATGGAGGATGCTGACTTGTGAGAAAACACTCACAAACTACTCACCAAGCTGTGATGAAACTGAAAACGTGTATCAGAAATAGAAAAGTGTTACATAATTAGACCTTTATTTTTTGACTATACAGGTTCACAAACTGGGGTTGACTCACATGCTTGGGTTGTCGTTATTCCTAGACTTTCAAAAACATTTCCACCGTGACGTCAGCATTTGGTTTGCGGGTTGCCATTTTGAAGCATCAAGTTTGCATTTCTGCCATTGCCATTTTATTTTTGAACCAGAAGCGATCATAATTGGGCAAGAGGATGGAGTAGCACCCAAAACCTGGTTGCAGAAAAATACTCAATACATTTGAACTCTGAAATTTGTCACTACAGGATTGCCTGGACCACAATCTAGGGACCACCCACTGGTCCCACCCACATGGACCACTATTTAGCTAATGTCATTCATTTAAAATCACAAATGATATTTTGGCTCATGGAAAGAATATTTATTTAGTATTTCATAGAAACACTTTATGAAATACACTTTTTTGGGACTCTGTTGAAGCTGGAGATGTTTCAAGGCAGTCATATTGCACTTCTGGACTAGCTTGATTTTTTTTGTTCCCAACACAGTGGATATGTGGGTTTTTCATAGAAGTATGGTCTTGATGTTTTTTTCACAAACTTAGTCTGTTTGAGTCAAACTCTGGTTCATTTTCCACCCTTGTGTGTGTGTTTTTGTTTTGTTTTGTTTTTCCAGAATATACAATAGTTTCACCTTAAAAATTTGGAAAAGAAATGCATAAAAAGAAAAGAATGCAAAGTAGTAAATTTTACAGCTTATCTGCTCCAAAGCAGGGCATCTTCTATGTGTACGTTTTTGTTGCTCCTACTCCAGATGCATCTTGCCAATAAGTGCATTGAACTTCTCATGTGGTTTATTATTGATGCATTTTGAATCCTTTGGAGTTTGACTGGAGTTGCGAAAATGAATCAAACGTCATACACTTTTGTTACATGACTTAATTTCAAGGCATTCAGACTTGGGGTCTAATCAAAACACCTACGTCGGTGTGTCTTTGCTTTGAGGAAGTTGAGATTTGAGAGCTTATCAGCGTGGAATTCACCTGCTGAGCGCTGAATTGTAATTTATACGACTTATGTATTCCTAAGTAAGCGAGCAGTTACGCAAAGACATATTTTATTGTGTTTAATCTGTGGCAGGACTTTATTGAAATGTTATTGAAGTGATTTGGATTTTTCAGACATTTTTTTTTTTTTAGACTTTTCCTGGATATTGTTGAATCTAAATTGTGGGATTTAAAAAAAAAAAAGTATGAATACTGTGTAATTAAAAGTGCTGTCACAGGAAAACACTCAGTCATACTGCAGACCAAAACAAACCAACCAGTTAAAAGTTTGAGAAGTTTTTGGAGCAGTTGTTGTTTAACTGCCAGATTCGACAGTGCGCCGCATGCCTGCTCGCCTCTAATTTGCCTCATTTACACATTATTACCTTGTTATGCTCATCTTTCTTTTTCGATGCGGCAGCCAATCTGAATGTGTGGGATAATGATTGTTATTATACATATTCACCAGGGACCTCAATCCTGATGTCATCTCGCACATTCAAAAGGAGTCGTGGAGTGGTCGGAAGTCCCATTTGTTTGTTCTGGCACAGCTATTCAAGGGCACATATAGCTGTAATTACATAGTAGATAATGCAGCTGATCTGTGACAAATATTTTAACTTTACTACTGAACATTTGTCTTGTGAGTCATCCTGTTGAATTGTGTGTGTTTTAGTGGAAGCTAATATTAATAGGGAGGAGATGTTAGCGTATTCTTTTTGAGCATGCATCATATATTAGGATTGAATATTGATACAGTCTATCCAGAATCTTATTTCCTTCGAGGGTGCGTTTGTTCATAGTCGTACTTTTGCATCTTATATCATTTCCACACTTATACGTTATTTCATCCAGTTTCTCGTTATTAAAATGGGCCCGGGTGCTGCAGTGCCGCAGACCTCCGGGCCCCTTCTGATTAAGTCGAGAATGAAACAAAGGCAGGGTCAGTCGCAGAGAGGCGTGATGGGGAAAATAAAACAGCTATTCAAGGAAATTACAAACTTTGTTTATTCGTCTGACATCATACTGTAGCATAATGCGCTCGTACAATAGTCCCCACAGGATCCAGTATTTGATAAGGAAGCAGGGCGACTGCCTGCGTGCTGTGTACAGGTTGGTAAAAGGTCAGATATCATAAATTCCAGTAGTCTGGAGCTAATTTTGGTCCCGCTGCTGCTGCTGCTTCTTCTTCTTCTTCTTTTTTGCACGATGTAGTGAATCTCGAGCAGCTCGATTTGCGTGAAGTGTTTCCAGCTGGGCGCCGTGTACCTGGAGTCCAGTGTTTTAACGATGCATGAAACTATACATTTTTACACATAAATTGTGAGTATTTATTACACAGCGTGCTGCGGGGAAAGGCTTGTTCTAACGTTTGAGTCCAAGGTTTATTTGTTAGCACCTGGCGGCTCTTTTTTGCTTCTCATCCGTAAATACTCTGCATACTCTTTCACGCGATTCAGTCTCAACAGGATCTTGAGCTTTATTGTGAAAGGTGTATGTGGAAAATAAACAAGCGGACACGCGATGGTTTTACCGTCGTTGTTGCTAACGACAACGCATAAAAACAGGCTCTTGTCCGTCCGTAGTGTGGTTATATTAAATATAAGAGAAAGAGAGAACTTTAAGAAATTAATGTAGCCACTACAGTGACCATCAAAACGATGAAAAAATATTGCCGTAAACAGTTTATTTTGCGACACCACGAAACAAACGATAGACTTTTTTATATCTTCATCCGATATATATCGTTATATCGAACAGCCCTATTTGTAACTTGAACTGCCTGAGGTCAGCGCTACTATAAACTCCCTGACCAGAATAATAAAAATTGATACACAGGACAAGATAACAGCATTGTTACCTTAATGATTGGCTATTTTTATTTTTTACTGCTGCATATATGAAGCGATAATGCCTTAAAAATTTTAAATCAAAATTTCTAAACTGTGGGAGACAGAATATATTACTGGGGAATTAACATTGTACAGTCACAAGAAATCCTTAGTGGGATTATCAAATGACACACTGGCACTGTACCACTAATGTGAATGGAAATTGCATTCATTAAGACATAATCACGTCATGAGTAATTAGTGTTTTTATGAACATGAGCCTGGATATTAAAAATACAACTCTCCAGCATGCACGATGCTGTGAAAAGGTTTCAGGAATCAGATTCAGACTTTAGTCACTCCCTGGAAATCCTGTTCTGTTTTCTTGCGATTGTTCTTCTGCAGTGCTCAGAACAGCAACCCTTAAGCTATAGTGTCATTTTGTGGAATGGACGCTGTGGAAATGGAGCTCTCGTCAACAACGATGATGCTTGACATGAAACAAAGTCGAGTCAGTTTAAAGGGAAGTTGTTTCTCTCTTGCAAGTGGTCATAACAGTGGTTTGATCAGTCAAGTCCTGGAACTTTTTCAGTATGACCAATCATAACCGCCGTGTCTTTTCACTGAGCCTTGATACTTGGGGGAAAAAAGAGCTCTCTCATCACGTTTTAGTAAAAAAAATAAAAATAAATTGTCCACAACAAAAGGCTGCTTTTCTTCCTTGTCAGCCATGTTTATATTTGCTGTATATATTTCTGATCGTTTCAGGATTTGAATAGAAGGCAGGCAGCAGAGCGCTTCTGCTCTGCAATAGTGCAACATTGGCTGATAAAGAGTTTGACTGCCAAAGTCCCTGATAACTGGTGGCACACGTGTGCTGCCATAATGAGACAGATTTGGATGGATTAAGCACCAAGTGGTGATGGAAAATGGCAGCCAACATGTCACCCTTCACCAGCAGGAAGAGATCCAGCCTGTAGCAGCACGTCCCGCCTGCCTGTACTGCCCTTCACAGCTTGCTGGCAGTTTGATGTGTGGAGCTTTAGGAAAGCTCAGAGATTCTGTCGCTGCTTTACATCATCTGCAATTCTTCTCCTAGTAAAAAAAAATAAAAAAATGTTTGACTTGGCTTCAAAATAAGCTCTCAGTAGTTTTGTCAATATTTAACAGTTACAGCTGCAAATCAATTTAGAGGCCATTTAGTGTGTTTATCTAAAAAGCCATTTTTAAAAGATGTCTGTTTAGTCTGGATTCTTTCTCTCACTTTCTGTCTTCCTTTCTCACAAGCGTTCTTGCTTCCTGTGTGAATTCGACCCCCACTGTTAGCCCAGATGCACCACGCTCCAGGATCACATAAGCTCTTACTTTGTGTTTTTTAGCGTCTTGCCAAATACTGGTGCTTTCCTGGCAACTCCAGTCACTCTCTGACCTCAGCTAAAGGTTGCGTGTTCACGCTGAACCCCGGAGGTATTCGTCATTTTTACTCTCTGCGAGGCCAAGGTGAAAAGTCACATCACAGCACCTCATAGCAACTCATGTCATTGCTTATTCTATTGCGTATTTTAAAAGCGTGCAATTGCACGTGACCGCTTCAGCTGCACTTTTTGTCTTCTACGTTCCCAGCAGCTACAAGATTTGCATTTTTCCAAGTCTCGACAATCCTCTCAGTCCCTCGACAAATAAACAACAGATGCTCAAATGTCTTCTTTGACTCATGCTTGATCTTCAGTATCGTGTGCCATTTTCTTATACTTCAGCAGTGTTACAGTGTGCTCAGTGTGTAGAGCTGATTTTGTTTTCAAAGCAAAGTGTGATGTAATAAGTCAGTGATCCTGTGTAGCTCAGTAGGTGGAGCAGGAGCTGTTGCACTGCTTTATTGAGAGATGAAATACAGACACTCGTGTTGTGTTAGTGTTTGTATGTGCTGATGTGTTATTGTAGGTCCTTCTGAAGCAATGCAGCTGTGTTTAATGATCAAATATAAAGATTAACTACATGATTAGCTTCCGTCATACTTCTGCATGAAGCATCAGAGCCTCGTCTTACATTCAAAGAAGCATGCTTCCTAAAGTCACACCACAGTTGATTTCGATTTGTTACATTTAAACCTTCCATGTCTAAACTACAATACTTTATAGCCTGTGCTTTTGATGTTTTCATCTTCTAAAAGGTACAGTTACACAATTATTTAATACTGATGCTAAAAATCATTTGAAACTTGAAGGAAATGTGTGACACAAGAAGAATAACATAAGAATTTAAACTACTGTACATAAAAAAAGCTTGTGCCCAAATAGTATTAAAGACCAATACAAATAGCAACATACATTCATTTAATAGAAACCTAAAATTTATAGCTGTGGAAAATGGATGTTAATGTGAACATTTTCTGTGTATTATTCTCAATTAAATGTATTTATTTACTTAGTTTGACAAACAATAAAAACAAGTAAGGTAATCTGAAGATGTCACCTTGGTTTTGACATTTTATATACTTAAAAAAATGATTAAGCTATTAATTAATCAGAAATTAGCTTACTTGTTTAGTTACAGCTTTGGTGTATCCGAACTGCCTCCATGAGTGTTTATGCTTATGTTGTTGTTCTTTTTCTCCTCCAACCTGCAGAACTTATTATTTATTATTTGAATCTGACCAATATGTGTCAGAGTTGCACCAGCATTACGGTGTCTAGGATAAATTAACTGATGCGCTGAATGACTTTAAATATTCCCTGCGGTAAATAAACTTGATGGCACTACACATTAACTCATGGTACATTTATCCTTTAATTTCAAAAATGTCACCCAAAATATTTCTGTATAAGACTTCTGAGTCTTCTTGAGTGTTTTCTCTCCTAGAGAGATCCTTGGTCTCAGAAGAGTCCCACAAGACATGTCAGTATTTGCTTCAGTCAAATGTTGCCGCTACTTGAATAAGACATTCAGTTAATCTGCACAGTGAGCTGCATATTACTGCGTTTCAGTGAAGACCAGTCAAGTCAAAAGTAGATTATTTCCATCTGTAGTAATTTGGTGACATGGCTCTGTGCTGGAACCTCCCTGATGCACAGAGACCTGCAGCTCACTGGGTATTTTCTCTGTACACCCTAGAGATGGTTGTGGGAGAAAATCCCAGCAGATCACCAGTTTCTGAAATATTTCCACCAGCCAGTCTGGCACCATCAGCCATGACATATTTAAAGCCACTTAAATCACCTTTCTCAGCCATTGTCATGCTCAATTTGTCCATGACTATAAACAAAAGTATAACAAGTCATCTTTAAACACCGTTTCCAGAATTAGTTGTGCCATTTGGATGTGTAGAGTGATATCTGCTAAGCCATCAGCTAATGTGGCACTGAGATTAGCTGATCTTTGTGGCCTGTATGAACCAACGGTCAGTTTAATCCCAATTTAGTGCTCTGTCATTGCAATTTGCTTTGCTTTTGTAGAATTGAATGCATCGGGCATAGAGCAGCCTTAAGTTTAAGTCTTTTTCCTCTTGATGTCTTCTAAAAGTATCTAATTAGTATCAGTAATAACAAAATTGATGATGATGATGATGATGATGATAAAGAAAATGTGAAGAAATTGCAGTTGTGTGTGTGTCATTTATCAAAAGTAGCTGCATTGATCAGTTGTGCAGCATGTGCCTGAAACCTTTTACAATGATTCAGCTCAAAGTAAAAAGCAAGGCTGTGGTAAACCAGACCATAATACCCCACCTAGATTCACGATTTTTAACGTGTGATAAGAGAAAAGAATATGCTTTGTATTCGCTCACATTAAAGGCACGCGCTGTCTCTCATCTCTGTCTGCGCAGGCCACTAAAGAGCTGAAACAATACGACAACAAGATCATTGAGTGCACCTTTACCAACAACAGCTGGGTGTTCATGAGGCAGAGGGTGGACAAGAGCTTCCCCAACTCCTATGATACAGCCATGGGTGAGTCTTTGTCCTTCTCCTTCCAGCCGTTATTTTTAATATCCCACTGTCTCCTGTATCTGAGTCTAAATCTGTGCAAATAACAGCCAGTCAGCCTGTGATTAATGGGTTATTTTATCTATATTTCTTTTATTTGTATTTGCAACAGCCTCGGTTTTATTTCTGCATTGTGAGACTGTGTATGCGGAGGGGCAGATGTTATGTTGTGTACTCTCCATTAAGAATGCACACTGACTCTGTGGCCTTGTCTTTGGAGCTGAGGACAAATTGTTTTCTTTAGCTCCTCACTGTGAATAGAGTAGCTGACATTTTGCCACACAATTTCCAATCTTTAAGAGGTTTTACTGTCGTGAATGGGAATGCGCATGATATATTATTGGCTGATAAGCGAGAAAATGAAATCATTGTTACTGTTTCAATAATGAAAGTTCAGCCGATAATTAAATCTGATAGCACGGTGCATGCTGCGGATGTTAGCAATCATTTTTTTTTCTTCTGCTCTTTGCTTGCTGCCTGAGGGCAAGGCTGAGCTCCTCATGCAGAACAGTGGAGTTAAAGGAACTTTAGACGACGCTCGTTCATCTGTACGACAAACTCTACAGTTTATCAAACAGGTTGATCAAGTAGAATATAAATGTCTTTAACTGCCCGTCGAGATGTTAACCTGCTGCCTCTGCTTCATCCACAGCCATTTTCACACATTACTCATGATGCCTCTAGCAAATTGTTATGAACAATCCACAGACTAATAGATAATCTCCGTACCGATTAAGCTTAATGTACAGTGGTTTTTTGTCTTAATATTAAAATTAAACGTTTTGTCTGTTGCTAAGAAATCATTGGCAGCATCACAGTATTTATGAAGACTTTCTGGGGGCCTTACAAGATAGCATTTTCCAAGCACCTGTTTACAATCCCAGAACCAATTAAGCTGGTTTGGGCTCAAAATATTTCCATGTACTGTTCAGCTAGCTACCTGGGTTGCTAATAAGCCAAGCTCTGCTAGTCTGCAGGAAAGGTTCACTTGAACAGACGCGTGATAAGAGCGAGACATGACAATCAAAGGAAGCTAAATGGAAAACTGTAGCAGCAAAGATGGCCTTTCTCCTGCCCCAATCAGTAGGAACCATAAGTCGGTCTTAAGATTGTGCTGATTAATGCGCACAGTGGAGGGTCACGCAGCGTCAGCCGTATGATGTATCTTATTACTTGTAGGTAAAACTACTTGTCGTTTGTCTTTGTAGTAAAGCTAGTAAAGCTTACTAGGAAAGAAATATGCCTTTGGGGCAAAGTCACCACACCACACATTTTTTCTATACATGCTGGTTTTTGTTTAGTGGTCCAGGGTTCGACCGCTTTGAGCATTGACATAAATTGTGGTTCTCTCCCTGTTCAGTGAGACAGGGTCTTGTTTGGTGGAGCCACATTGGCTGCAGAGGGGCAACGCCAGCTTCTCAAAGGGCTTTGATTGTGCCCTGAGAGATACATGCAGTAGGGTGGTGTGAGATTCTATCAGCTGTGGTGCTTAAATGATGCTCAGTTGGAACTTAGGGCCCCAAATTGTGCTGAGAAGAAATCCCCCTACCATCAACATCACCACCAGCCTGAACCATTAATAGTAGACAGGATGAATACATGATTTCATGGTGCTTATGCTAAATTCTGAACAAATCCCAACCATGCAAATGTAGAAATGGAGACTCATCTGATCAGGCAGCGTTTTTCCAATCCTCTATTGTCCAATTTTGGTGGTCCGGTGTGAATTGCAGCCTCAGTTTCTTCCGCTGCTTTAAGGCATCTGCTTTGAGGCTCTGCATTTTTACGCTGTTGGTCTTCTGCACACTTTGGCAATAAAGTGTTTTGCTGTATAGTTTTTTGTACATATATAATGATGCATTTTTTTAACTTTTTTTTTAAGTACAAGGATTTGCTTGTCTTGTGCTTGTACATTTAAGTCTCTTTAATGAGGTTTTAATGAGCTATGGGTCTTAAAGTTAGAATAAATCGTGAGTTCTCAGTCTGAGTACCCTTTCTTCCTCTCCACCAGCAGCACCCCTAGAGCAGTAAAGAGGTAGATGTTGTGAGAGAGGATAAACGCTACCACAGAGCTGTCAGACAATTTATTAGTTCAAGGGCTTTAATCTGGCCCGGGTTATGGTCTCTCAGACCTACTTCGGTGCAACGACATCAGTCAAAAATCAAATATGTTTGCAGTCGATTCACACGGACACGCTCGAAGGTGGAATGAAAATCCAGCTGTGATGGACTGCAAATGTTATCCATGCACATTTTTAGGCCATCTCTTGCAGTTAGGCAATGCAACCCTAGGCTTTCATTTCACCTCCACAGTTAATGGCTGTCTTGAAGACAGTGCAGATGTGGCACTACTTCTAATATATTTTCAAATAATGGACTTATAATGGGAAATGCATGAAAAGGGGAAAAAGATTACAAATTCAATGCTTCAATCAAATTGGATTTCATTTCACAAGTTGTGATTTTTGTTTTAAACTTTAAAGTTCTCCCCCACGTGCCACATGCTATGAAAATGCACAGCAACCACAACAGGAGAAACAAATGGACACAAACAAAGCAGAGGAAGGCGAGGACAGAATGCAAAAATAATAGATAAACACGGCAATAAACCATGTTTGTGTAGCACTTAATCTAAATGCTGAGTTCACAGCGCTATACAAGGAGGAGCATAATAGTACATATTGAAGCAATAAAAACAAGAAGCATAAGCGAGGGAAAACACATTTAAAGAATGAACGAAATTGATTGAAGAAGATAGAAAAGATGGTCCTGAATTATTGAGCTTTAGATCCCGAGGCGGACTGTTGTACAGCCTCGGAGCCCAGATGGCAAAAGCGCCTTTTATCTCAAATCTGGTCAGATAGTAACACATTTGTCCCCGAGCTGATAACATTTCGCTTCATTTAGAGGCTGGATATAGTCGTCAGTGTGCTGCTGGTATTATGGCGCTGTCATAACCGTGCAGAGGGAGCTGTGGAGCAGGAGGATCTTTTTTCTAGCACTCAAAATCAAAAAGTCCATATCATGTTTCCGTAGACAGTGGGAGTGACTCAAAAGTTGGTGTGTGTCTGTGATAAAATAGTGTTTAAAATGTACTTTAGCAGCTTGGATGCGTGTCGAATCCTCTCTGATTAATATAATTATGAATCATTAATTTAGGTGTTTTTGCCTCATCCACACCATCATCAGAGAATGCAGTTGTTTCAGATGCCTGAATCTTTCTGTTATGCACAAGGTGTCTCTTGCTTTTAAATCTCGAGAGTGGACGGTCAGTGATGACGTTAAGTTTTTCGTTTTTTCCACCAGGCCATCTTAGGTTATAAAAGAAAAATGGCTCCATAGTATAGCGGGGTTGTGTTAGGATAGACATTTGGCACATACTGAGACATGCAGAGTTACCTGCTGTGGCGACGCAACTTTTATGCCAGGACATCTCTGAGGCGGGCGTGGCTCAAGAGGCAGAGCAGGTCATCTACCAGTCGGTTCAATCATTGGCTCATCTTTTCAACATGCCCGCAAGATACCGACCCCTAAATTGGTCCTGGTACAGCCACCAGTGTGTGTGCGTGCATGTTAGAAGGTGTGTGAATGGATTGTAGGACTTTGAGTCATGATACATGAAACATGAAACAGGCAGTTCTAGTGTACATCATGACTCGCCTTTGCATCTTTGTGTTTTGCTTTACTTTGACTCACTGGTTCTGTTTAGGAAGAGATTAGCAAGAGACAGACTGCATTATTTGATCACCTGGGAATGAGAACGTGCTTGAAAGAACCATGAATTCACTGTTGCTGGAAAAGCCTGTCGGCATTTCTATTGTAACTTCCTTTCTCCTTTTTTTTTTGTCCAGCTGTGTGTCAAAGCATCCGGGAGCCCGTCACTAAGGAAATCCTTTTGGAGTATCTGGACCGCTGTGCTCAGGGAGCACAATCCCAAAACCGGAAAAACCCGCGAGACCCAGACTCTGAGCTAATGCCCCCTCCCCCTCCAAAGAGACCCAACCGGGCCATCCCGTAGCCCGTAGCTACGCCTTTGGGACTGCTCCACGGTTACGGTGTACATCCAGCCACTCACACCCCAACAGATAAAGGACATTTCAAGGCTTTCTTACCTGCAGCACGTTTGCTTTATCAGCCCATACATGTCGGGGCACCAGAAAACCTCGATGTCATTAAATTACATTGTAGACCTTTGTAGCTTTAATTGCCTGTGTTCTTATTAAAATGTTAAAAAAAAAAAAAAAATTACGCTTAGGTAATTTTTTTTTTCATTGTTTTGCTGTTTATAATTTTAAACAACTGAGCTAATTGGTATTTATTTACTTGGGAATTGTTATAGCAACAAATAACACCTGACAAACCGTGTTCATGTTTTGTCAACTAGTTCCTTAATTTGATTTTGAAAGAGGAGTAAACATCTTTAAAGCTCAGTCTGCTGTCTTGATGAGTCTACACTACAAAAATAGTTTCCACCATCAGGTCTCATGTAGATTTACACAAAGCTGCGCAGATGTTCAATTAACAGATTAAGGTTTCTCATTGAGTTCCACCTGTAAGACTCAGGCGGGGGTTTCCAAATGTTTTCATATCTCAGATAAGGATTAAATCTCAGTACTCTGCCTCAGCCCATCTGTGTGGACTTTTGTTTTAAAGGCCACATGGGTGGGCGGGGGAGATGACAACGTGATTACACAGTCTCTACAAAGTAACTACAACTACAAAACCAGTGAAGTCAAGCTGCAGATGGGTGGCACACAAAAGGAAACAAAAATCAACAAATTGTCTCGCAGAAGTGAAGAAGCTTCAAACGGAAGGATAAATACAACTTTTCCAGAAGATTAGAGCCTCAAATCGCTTGACTTTGATTTTAATTCGCCATGCGCTCGTTGTTCCCCAGTTTTCATCTACACCGAGGTATTAAAGCTAAAAGGTTTATGCTATATCCAGCATCAAAGTGAAGAACACTGGTTTTTGTGTTTAGCCAATTAGGATTTTGTTTTTAAAAAAATGTCTTGTGTGCCATGTGATTTGGCTTCAAAAAGGCAGAAAAAATCTTAGACACTTTTCAGTCTAAGAAACCGCACATCTGTGTGAAAAACATCTTCATTTTAAGGTGTATTTTGTTTGCCAAGGACGAGGTAACAGTTTAATAGAAAAGTTGCTTCACTTAGATTTAACTGATTTTTCTCTGAAGGCCCCGGGCAGGAGGGCAAAACACAACAAAATGCTTAAAGCATGTTAAAGCAAAATCAAACAGAAGCTTAAAGAATAAATGCTGACTGTAATGTGCTGTAGTTACAAAATAAACAGTAATGTCTATACTAATTGTTACATAACCACCTGCCACAGAATAATATCTGTGAACATGTGAGTAGGGATACTTTCAGTTGGGTCTTTTATGTATTTGGACTATAATCATGGATGATGTTACTGAATTATGAGTTTGCAGCATTAATTCAAGAGGATTAACAGTTCGGTCATTTTTCACACATTCCCTTCATTTTTTTTTTTCAGGGTATGAATTGATTGGACATTTCACTGATGAGCTCTTTCAAAGCTAGGTGTGACTTTTTCCCCCTCATTACTTCATGACGAGTCTGTTCAGACTTCCTTGTACCAACGCTCCAGAGCCTGGTGTAAATTATTTAATATATTAGGTACAATTGTGAGATAAGATGCACAAAAAAAAATCACCAATTTTCAGTGAAGGTAATAAAAAAAAAAAAATCTGTCTTCTTTGTCTGAACCTTTGGTGTGTCGACATGTTTGAAAAGGTGGCTGAACTGCATTAACAGTCAGTTTTACACCATCAGGACATGTGAATTACAGTTTCAGTCTTGAATTAGTCACCCCTGACATTAATTTAAGAAACAGACCAAATTTCTACATGTGACCACCATGTTATTTATTTAACAGAAACTAAGTCAAAATGAAGACTGTTTGTTGCCTCTATAGGAATGAAAGAGGTAAGTGGCAGCCAGGTGAAGCTAATCAAATGCACTTACTTCACTGCTCATCTGCTGCACGTGTGAGCACCTCTAACTTGCTACCCATCAATCTACAAAGAGTTTAAGTCATTTCCAAACAATTATTAACAGGTGGAAAGAGATACTGATAGTCTAGTCTTCCCAGGAGTGGACGTCAAAGTAAACTCACCACAAACGCAGACTGTGCACTTCTGAGATACTGCAAAATGAAGGGAAGATTCTACGGGCCTCAGCATGTTAAATTTCATGACAACACAATTGGAAAAAGACTGGACAAGAACGCCGTGTTTGGAAGGTTTACTAGAAGAAAACCTCTTGGGTTTGATTTGTAAAGTTGCATCTGAACAAACAAGCCGACCAAGATCAAAGTGCTTTAGACAAACGAGACCAAAGTGGAAATGTTTGGCCATAATGCACAGTGAAAACCAAACAGTGCACCAAATGTCAAGGTCACGCTGGTGGAGGAATGATGATTTGGGTTGGTTTTGTAGCCACAGGACCTTCCAGGCCTGCAGTCAGTCGTATGCGCTTCTGTATATATTCTACAGTCAAAATAGAGGACATCTGTCTGAAAAAGGACCCCAAGTACGGCAGCAAACCTGCAACAAAATGACTAAAAATGGGGGGAGAAAATCACTGTTGCAATCATCTAGTCAAAGTCCAGATTTCAATGCTGTGGTGGGACCTTAAGAAAGCTGTGCCTGCGAACCTCAATGAACTGAAGCAACGCCACAGAGAAGAGTGGTCCAAAATCCCTTTACAATGATATGAGAGTCATCATGTGTTACGTCCCCACATGAAGGGTAGGCGAAGAGGGTGGGGGACAGTAACAACTGGATCCGGATTGGAATGAAAAGGACGCCAGGCAGAAGTGTTAAACACAAAATAAGTCTTTATTATAACCAATAACCATGTAAACAGTATCAATAGAAAAAGACAGCAACGCTGCTATTAGCAATAAACCAGGCAGGCCAAACCAAGAAACTGGAGGCCGCTTCGCACACACGAAACAACTGCCCAGTTGAGAGCTACTCACAAAGAGCCACGCACGGTGGGGCTGGTCGGTCGGTCACTCTCTCACTCACTCACACACAGCGGACCTTTTCACACCTAGGCCAGAATCACACACAGACCAGCTCAGAGGAAATCCACCAAAAGCCTCTCCCACACCCACACTGCTCTCCTCCAGCTTATCTCACCTCTGGAGGGTAATTGGTGGTAAACAAGGGCAGATGAGCAGCAGGTGTGTCCTAAAGGAGAAGGCAGGGGCAGAGAGAGACAAGGGGAGAAGAGGAAGAGGACAACACCACGCCCACACACTCCCACTGCTGTTCATCTTAGGTTGTTTAGGAACATAGAAAGATCCAGATGTATGTAAACCTCCACAGTTTAATTGTGTAATATGTGAGTGCTGTAAAGAGAAAAAAAAAAAGCTCCACAATATACCTCAGCAACTTGAGTGAAACATTAATCCTGACTTTTCATATTAGCACCACATATGCAGCCATCTTTCTTGGCCAAATTTCAGTGGAAATGTCAGTGAAAGCTTGTGCCTGATCTGTATGCTGCGAGCATAGAGAGTCACAGGCTGTGGCCATGCAGAAAAAGCTAATTAGAACATTTAACATACAAGATTAATCATCGGCCTCGAGACAAACAAATATTTATCTTTTTAATTAAGTGTCCTGCTGAGGAGTATGACAGGAATAACAAGTCATCAACCCATACAAAACAGACACATGCCCAGGTCCCCAGGCAGCAGTTTTCCGCCACCTCTATAACCCATTGTGTTGCGCTTGACCTCTGACCTCCCCGTGAGGCCCAGGCAAATGAAGATAATTCCTCCTCCGATTATTAAACGTGCTCAGCGTGCTTTGTTTTAATCCCTTCGGTAAAGCCTGTTGCCAGGAAACATATGGATTATTTTCTTAACCTGTTGCCCACATTGTTGTTTGAGTAACTCCCATCTGCAGCGCTCATCGCCCACTGTTGTTTTTGTAGAAACGATTTACACAGAGGACTATGTAATCAGCTATATTTAATTGTTTGTTACGGGTCTCTCTATCGCTCGCTCATAGTGGATGATACCACTTTGACGTTCGGTGACTCTATTTCTGCTTCTGTGTGACTAAAAGTTACTATTTCAGAACAATTGTGAGGTGCAACTTTCTTTGAAATGTGTCTCTCTGCACCCCCGTGCTGCGAAGGATTTTTTTTCCTTCTCTTTTAGGATCAAGAGTCAGAATTTGTGCTTATTTTAAGATTAGTGTGACGTTGAGCGGTTAGTCATGCAGCGTGGAGAATTTAGATCTGGAGTTAGGAAATGAATGTAAGTTAGGGGAGCGTAACACACGAGTGTAACAAATCATGCATGTGTGTTTTGAGTTCCTGTCGATTGGCGCCCGAGGCGACCGTTCTCCTTATAGCGGGGATGGATGAGCTGCACTCCCAGGGCTCTCTTCCCCTCCGGCTTCACATGAAAGCTGGCTGATTTTCATCAAAGCCTCCCCTCACCTTTTTGTCGTGAGGTTGCTGCCGCAGAGACGCCGCCGCTCTCATGCAGCAGGTGCAGGATTCATACCTGTTTTTCTGTTTTCATTTCTTTTCTCTACGAGCTTAAATTGCATTCAGTTAAATCCATCCTTGCAAACTGTTCTTCTAGATTTAATATTGACCCAAACCTGTTTTATTTTTCCAAAACCCCTTCGGCACCTTCTGTGTCGTGTTCCTCACGAAAACGTGGCGGAAGACGGACGCTCGAGGAAACGCAGACAGACGCGTGAAAAGGAAGATCCTGCTTCGTCAATAATGCGTTTCCTCTGGGTGTGTTTGTGCCCCGGAGGGGAGGAGGGGAGCGCCGCCGCGGCTGTATGGATCTGGAAATCCAAACACTCTGTATGAGCACAGGTGGTGTAGCAAAGATTACCAGGCTCTCACTCTCAGCTCAGGTGTTGGAGGCTGAAAGCCACTGAGCTTCACTGCAATATTAATTCAGCAGAGACGACTCGCGGGTCATTATTGTCTCAGTATTACCTGCATTTTGAATAATGCATCTCTGCGACTCTCACTGTTGAGAGGTGCAGAAATGTTCTGTTTGCAGCTCAGAGCTGCTCGTGTACTGACAGTGTTTGCGATTACTGTAAACTACATTTTTGTTATCTTGAAAAAACCCCAATGTGTTATTCAAATTAATAATAATCAAACGATGTGGGGAAATTAATTCGTTTTTCATAATCAAACCACTCCTTGTCCAGTAAAATTCATGATGTTATCATTCAGTTTATTCTTCAAGTGATCAAATAGGGCCAAATATGGCCCCAGCAGTATATTTAAATGTGAGTCGTGTAGCACGATTTACTGCTGCAGAAGCCTTGATTTTCAGTATTTCTGCACAAAAAATTTAATGTGATGCACCTATATACAAGATGTATGTTTAGGCTTTGTTTTAAACAGGTAGTAACTAATACCCTGCATGACAACTTCATTATAATTTGTTGGGTCTCTGCATTCATGTGGATGTTCCTACAACATGCACCACCCACCTAAACATTTTTACAGATCAAGTCCACCTCCCCAATGACAACAGCCTTCTCTGGCGAGACATACACTCTGAAACACTCCAAAAGCAACTCAGGAACACATCAACGAATATAACAAAGACCTTCGATCTCCACCAAATCAAGAACTGGTTCCAGATGCTACAAGACGCCCTGAGAGTGCTCTGTGTCCACACACGGAGCTGTTTTGGTGACATAAACAGGACCTAATATTGGTTTGATTGGTATATGTCATAATCCAAATTGCTGTTGGAGGTGGTTCCTGAACACTTTTACTTTGCAGTAACACCACTCACTTTAGATCAATTCATTCTTTTAGAAATGTTTCTAAAGGCAAAGCTCACAGTCAGGTGCTTGATTTTATACACCTGTGGCAATGAGACTGAAACACCTGAAATTAAAGATTAAGGGCCAAATTTGCTAAATGGGTCAAAATAGCAAGTAAGCTGTCATAGTTTTGCTGAGTTTCCAACACACAGTTCCCATCAGTTAATTTTAATATCAAGTGCCAAAAAATATTAATTTTGTCTGTGTTAAATTTCGACACAATTAACAGTAAATTGCGTGCCACAAACGTCAGAGAATCTCTTTGCATGCTTGATTTAATACCGTTCTTCCTATATTTTTTACCTTGAGAAAGGAACTTGTAAAAATCTCTGAGCAGCCCTTCTTAAGATCCTGATTAGGTTGCTCATCGACTTCCCTCCAGTTTCCGAGCTGCGTTATTAGCCTCACATCTGATGGTATCGGAAACATTGAAAATAAAAAGTTTGGGGACTTCACAACATCATCAGTGAACCCTAAAGTCACGACTGTGAATCAAGTCTTCAGCCGACTGATTTTAATAACAGGCTTTAGTCCTGATAATAAAGTCAGACAGTCCTGACCTGATTACCCCGATGAAATTAAAAATTTAATTGCATAAATTTTTCAGCTGATGGACTCGAGCAGGCATTGCAGCACAAATCTATTACTAGCAGATTCTCGGCTTGATGCCATGAGGTAACAAATGACTCCCATTTGGGGCGTCGGCCGATGAAGCTGCAGCACAGGTCTTCAGTCTCCATCAGAAGCAGCGATCGGGGGGTCTTTGTTCGTGACACCATACAGCTATTCTGTGTGCTTTGTTTGTGACACCATGCAGCTATTCTGTGTGCTTTGTTTCTTACAGCAGCACAGCGAGGCTGCCAGTGTAGTGTCAGCCCACTCTGTGATCAGCTTTTCAATCAACGTGACACACAGAAACTGCACTTATGCCTGCTGCTGCTTTCAAAGACTCCCAAAATACCTGTAAACCTACTTGGATATCAGGCATAAACACTGATCCTGCTTAAAGCAACCAGAGGGCACAAACATCTAAAGATAAGTGACATGGCAAAAAAGAATATTTTTTATTTATTTTAACATTATTTTAAATGTTGTTGTTTTTTTCGTTGCATCCCAGAAAGACACCCATGGCCTTTAAGTGAACTGCAGTCAGTGTTGTTTGCATTTGCTTGTGAGCATCAGATAAAACAGTCAGGCTTGCACTGTTGTAATTTGGCGGCTAACCGTACAAAGCAGTAATTAGGTCTGTGAAGGTTCTCAGTCATCCAGGTCATCGTAGTCAAAGGAGCTTGCAAAGAAAAGCGTCTGGACTTCTTTAAGTTGCTTGAAGATGTTTCACCTCTCATCCGAGAAGCTTCTTCAGTTCTAAGGTCAAATAGTTTGACCTTAGAACTGAAGAAGCTTCTCGCTTTTCTTTGCAAGCTCCTTTGAAAGCAGTAATTAGTTATACACTTTCTCTTTGTATCATATTTGACTAAAAGCACCAATGTTTGATATAACTGTCAATTTGACAAACTAGTTAACCACAATTTACACTCAAATATGAGCTTTGCAATAATGTGGGCAGGCAAGCAAACTGAAATTAGCAATTTTGATCTCCCAAAACCAAACAAATGTCTCTCCATGAATCAAACACCCTGCTTGTGATCAGCCTAGTTTTTCCTCAACAACAGACATATTTGGTTTAGGTCAAAATGACTTCACTAGATTAAACCTGGCTGCCTTATGACCTGTTATCACCTGGCACATGTTACCAGGGTCACAAAACAAATGTTAAAGCTTCCCAGCATGGGCATGATTTGCTGCTCTTATGGCACGATTGAGGATTGGCTCTTCCTGTTCTAAGCGCAGCCTCATCACCACACTTGAAAGCGGTACTCCGTACTTTAGCTTTTCACTTACCTCCTGCATCATCCATGTTTTTTCATTGGCCCAAGTGGAAATGTTCTTTATGACACAAATGTCCTCTGTGCTGCATGAAGTATAGCAGCAGGCTGATGAACCTCGGCTTGAGTTGTAAAATGTGTGGAGTTGCTTTGTTTATTCAGCGCACGCTCTGTTAAAGCCACAGTGAGTGGATATAAAGTGGTAGCAAGTAAGCACCAGTGTTCGTCCACATGCTTGCATTTATACTGAAAAGGTCAGGCCTTTTTTTTTCCTTAATGAGTTCCCACATTTTTCCCCCCAAAGGATTTCTTCAGCAGCTAACACTGAGCACTGCTTATATCAGAGCCAGTATTTGTTGTAATCAACATCAAATCACAATAAGTTTTGTGCAGTTCCACCAAGTTAGTGCAACGTCAATGAATTTTCCTCGCTCCAGGCTACAAAGGAGTAAAACCACAGAAAATTAAAGAATGAGATGTGATTCCTGTTTTTTTCCTTTACTCCATTAACTCGGTGAAGTGAGAATGTCATCGCTTGAGAAGAAAAGGTGGAGGGACGCCTTTAACCTGAAGGTGTAATTTTCTAACTGACATTTTACAAAATCTTTCAGAGTGACTGCAGGTTGACCTCACGGGATGTACCAGCGCACGGACAATAAAAAACGAATTGTTCTTCAGAACAGTCAGACTTAACGCGAGACTGAAAGGCTTGCGATTTAACACGAGGATAACTGCCCAGTGGAAGACCCGACAAAGTGATGAGGTAAATGTGAGAAAATGCTAAAAGAGAGGTAAAAGGTTCAGACCCTTTGTACTTTTTCACCTTTACCGGTAAAGTGCCTGTAAATGACGATAATAGCCCACAAAGGGCACAGAGTACACAGTGTTTGACACTTCTCCCACATGCTCGGGAGTAAAAGTCGTGATTTCTCACCCGCGACCAATTTTGACCTCCTGCTTTTGTAGTCTGTGAGCTTCTAAACTACCGGAGTGCTCTTTCAACATCGGGAATTTTTTTCATCCAGAAAAAACGAAAACAGGTAATTTTCTTATTTACGTGAACATTTCACAGAACATTACCTTATTTTCCTCTGGTGCATTAGATGATTCAGTTTTGTGCTATTATTGTATTTTACAGTGCAAAGTTGGGACGTTCTTTACCTCAGTGCTTGAACAGTCTCTTCCATCTCCCACCAGTGTTTAGCTGCCTCCATTCTGCGACTATATCAGGTGGCTTTTAACGAGTAATTCCTGCAGAGAAAAAAAAAAAAACCCTCAAAAGCTTCATGACTTGGACAACATGGGTGACCAGATCAGCATAAATGTCCACAAAACATTTCTCCCACCTGGTAGAATAGTTTTGTCAGTATATATTCACTGTGTTCTGCTTCTTGCAAACTTTCGGACTCATTAAATTAAGCTTATTTTCGTGGGCAGCACATTGACTAGCACTGCGGGTCCTGGGATTGATCTAAATCTAAATTGGCTGTCGCTCTTTGATGGACTCGTGACCTCTCCAGGGTGTACCTCGCCTCACAACCCAAGACAGCTGGGATAGGTTCAAGCCCCCCGTGACACTCAATGGATAATCTTTAAGAAAATTAACGGACGGATAAATTAAGTTTTTGTGTGAGCTTTCCTGTGTTTCTTTGTTGTATTTGATTAAACCCAGAAAAGCTTGATGCCTTAATCTTTTCTCTGCATTTTACTGCTTTTCCTCACATAATTCTCACCACATTTATGGTTTTTTTTTTGTTTTTTTTTACATACTTCAAACTGGTCTTCAGCCTGAAGAAGGTTTTTCCTTTTTATTGCCATCTTATCAGCCTTGTTGCAGCAGTAAGGGAGATCATGTTTGCTGTTCACATGAATTGTGAAAAACACTGGGGAGAATCCTTTCCACTGACGGAAAGCAAAACAAACTTGTGGAACATTTTCCAAATTAAAAAGTATCAGTGGAGAGCTTTGTCCGCAGGAAGCTGGGCGAGGCTGATATTGTGGGCCTTTTGTCTTCTCAGCAGTCCTTTGGGTTGCAAAATATTGGCTGTGTGCAGCTGGCAACCTTTTATGCAATTTTAAGTACTAAAATTCTTAAATTTAAGCTTGGTTTGATTTCCCTGGACAGCCAGATTGAGCTCAGTTGCATGCACGATAATGCGTTGGTCATGTATTCTGCGAGGTCAACTCATTCTCTTTCCTAACTTGGTTAGCAGGTCCTTCGTTTCATATTTAACCTGCAGTCTCACACTGTCCATTTTAGATATTCAAGGTCTGCTGCTGAGCTCTGTCGAACTGCTTTGCAGGTGGAAGATTTACACTCAAATGTGAAGCTCATGGCTCCCGACCAAGAAAGCTCATGCGACGAGCTGGGCGTGACAATGCCACCATCTCTCTTGCCCCACTTTCAAAAGTTTAATCAAGATGATTTTTTGAGGAAGACACAAAACTGTGCAGTCATGAGCCCTTTCTTCATCATAAAGTTCAGCTTATCCAAACTATCTCAGTTTAGCTCAAGCGATTCTTCATATTTCCTGGTCTCACTGCTGGTAAAG